ACCAAAAAACAAAAAAAAAAAAAAAAAAGTCACTGCACAAAACAAATCCCAGCCGGGTCCGTCACTTTTTTGGGTCCCCTTGTGTAACGGGGCTGACGAGACTTGAGACGTTCGGATCCAAATGCAAAGCTTTATTTAAGAGAAGACACAGCCGTGGTCATAAAGCAGGCAGGGTCAAACAGAGGCATACAGGTATATGGCGGGCAAAACACAAGAATAATCCTAGGGCTAGTGTGGGTCGATGAACTGCAGACAGAGTCACAGGGGCAAGGCTAAAGGGAGGAATCCAGGCGAAGATCAAAACCGGAGAAAGCAGACAAGGCAAGGCAAAACTAGGAAAACACGGAGACTCGGAAAGGGGTACAGGCTAAACAATACTCAGCAGAGAAATGTGGTTAGAGTGGGTGTTATATAGTGAATGAGGTAATTAGAAACAGCTGTGTGTAATGAGTGCAATCAGGGCAGTGTGCAAATTGTGCAAGGAATGATGGTAAATGTAGTCCGGGGTGCTATGCAACAGTTTGTGTAGTGCGAGAGTCAATGAAATGGAAAGGGTGACCTCTGGTGGTGAATAAAAAGAAGTCCATGGACTGAATTCGTGACACCTTGAAACATTTCCGTTGTGGTCCGTGCTATTTGCAGCGCGTTTCTTCATTCGCATGTGTTGTGAGGATTTGCAGCGCGTTTCTTCATTTGCATGTGTTGTGAGGATTTGCAGCGCGTGTGTTGTCAAATTGATGAAAATGTTTTCTTAATTTGCTGGTGTTTTTTCAATTTGCATCTGTTTTCTTAAGTTGCAGCGCGTTGAGCTCTCTCGGCCACCGTACTTAAACCTACCCATACCACCAAACCCTAACCTTACCCGTATCACACCTCAATAGCAGCAAAAGTGTTGTACATTAACAAAGCTTTTAATCATTGTGTAACATCTGTTAATATCATTTGATTTTCAAGACGTGCATGATCATATGAATTAAATGTTTAATGACATTTGTAAGTATTGTAATTTACAATATTTCTCTGATGATCATTAGGTTATGTTTAATAAGTTTAGTAAACATTAACAAGCACATTATCTCATGTTTCTAGCTGTGAATATACAGTATATTAACTAATAATCCGTTAACCATTATATAATGTTTGTTAATGATTTTTTTATGAAAGTTATTATAAAGTGTTCTAATGATCTGCCACTGTGATCTTAATTGAAATGGGGGAAAAAAATGTTGGTGGTGTTTTACTGCCTCTATTGTTCAATTCAACTGGAAACTGCAGTGAATGGTATCACATATTTCCAGTGAGCAATGGTTAATTGAAGGAGCCCATGGCTACTTTTCCTAATGTTCCCTATTCCCTAAAAAAAAAAAGATGTACTCGGTTACTAACGTAACCTCGGTTCCCTGAAATTCAGGAACAAGAGCTTCATCTGCTAAGACACTATGGGGAAAACATATTTTTCTCCGAATACTGAAGCACAGGTATATGGCGGGCAAAACACAAGAATAATCCTAGGGCTAGTGTGGGTCGATGAACTGCAGACAGAGTCACAGGGGCAAGGCTAAAGGGAGGAATCCAGGCGAAGATCAAAACCGGAGAAAGCAGACAAGGCAAGGCAAAACTAGGAAAACACGGAGACTCGGAAAGGGGTACAGGCTAAACAATACTCAGCAGAGAAATGTGGTTAGAGTGGGTGTTATATAGTGAATGAGATAATTAGAAACAGCTGTGTGTAATGAGTGCAATCAGGGCAGTGTGCAAATTGTGCAAGGAATGATGGTAAATGTAGTCCGGGGTGCTATGCAACAGTTTGTGTAGTGCGAGAGTCAATGAAATGGAAAGGGTGACCTCTGGTGGTGAATAAAAAGAAGTCCATGGACTGAATTCGTGACACCTTGAAACATTTCCGTTGTGGTCCGTGCTATTTGCAGCGCGTTTCTTCATTCGCATGTGTTGTGAGGATTTGCAGCGCGTTTCTTCATTTGCATGTGTTGTGAGGATTTGCAGCGCGTGTGTTGTCAAATTGATGAAAATGTTTTCTTAATTTGCTGGTGTTTTTTCAATTTGCATCTGTTTTCTTAAGTTGCAGCGCGTTGAGCTCTCTCGGCCACCGTACTTAAACCTACCCATACCACCAAACCCTAACCTTACCCGTATCACACCTCAATAGCAGCAAAAGTGTTGTACATTAACAAAGCTTTTAATCATTGTGTAACATCTGTTAATATCATTTGATTTTCAAGACGTGCATGATCATATGAATTAAATGTTTAATGACATTTGTAAGTATTGTAATTTACAATATTTCTCTGATGATCATTAGGTTATGTTTAATAAGTTTAGTAAACATTAACAAGCACATTATCTCATGTTTCTAGCTGTGAATATACAGTATATTAACTAATAATCCGTTAACCATTATATAATGTTTGTTAATGATTTTTTTATGAAAGTTATTATAAAGTGTTCTAATGATCTGCCACTGTGATCTTAATTGAAATGGGGGAAAAAAATGTTGGTGGTGTTTTACTGCCTCTATTGTTCAATTCAACTGGAAACTGCAGTGAATGGTATCACATATTTCCAGTGAGCAATGGTTAATTGAAGGAGCCCATGGCTACTTTTCCTAATGTTCCCTATTCCCTAAAAAAAAAAAAGATGTACTCGGTTACTAACGTAACCTCGGTTCCCTGAAATTCAGGAACAAGAGCTTCATCTGCTAAGACACTATGGGGAAAACATATTTTTCTCCGAATACTGAAGCCTTTTCAAAAATGCAGTGCAACTGTATGGCCATTGGTTCGTGCAGTGAATTAAAAAACAATCCAATGGCTCGGCAGCAGAGCTGAACGAACCTATGGCGACAAAGCCCACCAGAGCCCGCCAGAGCGGGCACTTCGCCATAGGATCCTCAGGTTACTTAGACTGAAGTGACGACTGAGTCGTGCAGCTACATAGCATGGCTAGCAACGCAGTACTCGTGCCCGTATCTCAGGGAATTGAGGTTATGTTAGTAACCGAGTACGTTCCCTATCGATACTTGACTCGTACTGCATCTGCTAAGACACTATGGACCAGTACAATCCCGCTGTGCTATGCTAGAGGAACGACTAATACTTGAACTTGCCTTGAGCACCAAATGGGGCCCAGAGGGACCAAGCATTTTGCAGGGAAGCCCCGCAGGAGGCAATAGGGCCAAACTCGCAGAGGTCAGCCGGGCGCTGAGTATTCGTTCCAAGGGAAATTGTACAGCCTCGGAACCCAGTAGGGGGCCAAGAGCGTACAGTGAAGAAGGCAAACGCCTGAAGCACTGGTTTTGCCATATGGCCAGAGTAAGTCCGTTTAAGCAGAAAGGACCCAAGCCTGTAAGGCCGGGACATCCAGATTATAAAACCTGGT